GGTGCGCTGTTGTGCCGAGCTATTTGCTTTTGCCACGTGGAGTGATTGCGAGGTCGGGCCAAATCTTCCTTCATCACTATCCATGTATTCTTTGCTGGTACCTTAAGTTTATTCTATACAAGGTTCATCTTGACGTATTCTCTCACATATACATTTATTCAATGATAGCTTTCCTGTATTTCTTAAGCACATTTTTTTCTCCTGTAGCATAAATAGCTAAAGATGGTTGGATTACAATTTGAGTTATGTTGGCCAGGTGCTAGAAATAATAGACAATAAAGCAAGAGTGATAAGGAGCAGAAGAGACATCATTGGTGAACTTCAAGCTGTTGACTATACATGAATTGACAAGGTATGGGTATTAGATGGCTCCTTTTTTTTTTGTTTATTGTTAACTATGAAATAAACGAGGAACTTCTATCGGTATACAAGTAGTATTGGGGTTCTATGATTGTTCTTTGTTAGCTTAAATGGGTGCTTGGGACATGACAGTTTATGGGATAATTTTGTGATTCCCTGTTCATGTGATGAAATGTGGAATCTCAGTAATTAATAAAATGTATTGGTTCCTTCATTTTCGTGTGGCTTTAGCAATCACGTGCTTTTTCCTTACCCTTAGGCTATGTTTGGTTTGAAGGAAAAGGTAAGGAAACCTATACAAGATTTGTAAAGGTTTCCTTTCCTTTCCCTACTTTTTCCTTCAAACCAAACATAGCCTTATGCAATCAATCTGATATGGATAAGAGGTAATTTTTACATATACAACGGCCCATGATTGAGATGGATTCTAATAATATATCAGCTTTTATTATTGAGATGTCTTTGTTTAGCTTTCTGTATCTTGCCACCTATAGTAGCTCATGCTAATGTATTTGCAGATAATTGTGTTGGCTTTCGACTTGACTCCAACTCAGCTCCTTGTGTTAAGGTGTATTTTGTGGCAAGCAGTCTATATTATTGGAAATAATTACAAGGGGTGGGATATGAGTTGGGTATATACATCACAAGGATACAGAGGAATGCAAGACATTTTGAACATGGGAGGAAAATGCTTCATCTGAAAGGATTCTTACTCAAACTGAAGATATGTTTTCCAACTGCAGGGCTAAATTTTTAAAGCATCAAATGAACTTGAATAAAATGTGCAAGTAGTAATGTTAATCCACTTGTTGTATTGCTTACTGTAAATTTTAATCAGCAGGAAAAAAACTACCTGTTTGTAATTTTACTACTAATACATTTGATAAGTATAGCTTGTAATTCTACTAATAGCGCATTTGCATAATTTAGAAGATATAGATCCACTTGTGCCATGTAGGAACCCAACCATCTAGGAGATGTATACTTGAAAAGACGATTCTAAATGTGTTATACAGGGGCATGGCTGGTTCATCGGAGCACCAAAGATGGTGGTATAGTTGTCAAGTATCGCCACCTTGTGTTACCACAACGAAGATCGATATAGCTAGCTAAAAAGATCTTTGCAAGCCTTAAGAGTTCAAGGAAATTATCAGCTGCCTAAATATGCTGCCAGCAATGATGTGCTAAAAAGTAAAAGCTTTATGTGAAGAAGCTGGGTCCTGGGTGGCATGTTGAATGGGCGAAACTGCTTACAAGGTCACAAGCTTTCTTTACTAGTTGGGAGTTGGGACAAAAATCAATACGTACAGATGATGGCAACCATCTAATTTTATTGGAATTAATTGGACGGTCTGAGGCTTTAGTACGAAATTACGATCTGATCTCGCTACCCTGATTTCTGGAATGGGCAATGTCTTGGCTGGGAGCCTGGTACCCATTGTGTAGCCCCCCTTGGAGCAGAAAAAATCATTTGAATTTTATTGAGAAAACCACCCCAATTAATAGATCCTACAAGGCTACAATTACCGAGTGATACTAATTGTGGATGAACAAATATAAGGAAATGGGAGCAACCATGCATGCCATGTATGATTCTGTTGAGCTAATGAACAACCATATCCATATCTCATACACACACAAACACAAGGCCTTTATGGAAGTTTGTATTGAACTATTAATGAGGCCAAAATTGATTGCTCTTTTCTCTTTCCTGTCTCTTTTTTCTCAAATGACTTTCCCTCTGCTAAAAGCATCATTATCTCTACAAAAGATTAAACAGTAATTCATTCCATACATCTGGCACTCCAGGCAAGCACCAATGTATACAATCAGAGTAACTCGTAGGGTTTGACAACTGCTGCGGACTAAATGTCTCCCAGAACTTCCGGTAGATGGAAGGATGGCCATCTTTCCGATACTCAGATAGCCGAGTGATGTTGACAACAGATACCTTTGGCCCCAGCTTTCCTAAAACATTCTTCACCATGCGCATTGTGGGCAAGTCTGATCCACTTCCCCAGTAACCCTCTACTTCAATGGGAGTATTTTCCTGATAACAGTTCCCCTCGCTCTCTGGCTTCCATTCTCGGCTCCTGCACGCCACAAAATGTTTTTATAATTCTTCATCTTTTGAATCTCACAAGGGGCAGTTGTAATGAAAATTGACTAGTCTGTTTCATTTAAGGGCCGCTAGAAATATTTAACCAAGAATTTTTGTAGGTGTAGACCTACCATTCTGAGTCTGATTCAACCACAACTTTTCCCTCTTAAATTCATTTTAGCTTGAAGTCAGATCTGAGTAAGATATAATTTTCAACAATTTTTTATTTTTTTATAATGTATTAGTTAAGTGTAAAAGAATATATGGTTCAAGATTTATGGCCTTCAGCTTTAAAATATGTTCTTAATTTAACTTAATAAACTTATTAATAAAATAGGGGTAAGTCAATTTGTAAGACAGTGGATCCATATGAGTGCATTAATCCGGCTGACCTGGTGCAAAACCAAGTCAGACCAGACCGGTTTCAGACCAATTGATCATTAAAGCAAAGGTTTTTGCATCAATTAGAACATCCTAGAATAATATAATTAAAGGATAAAATAGGAAAAAGGCAAAATACAAGAACATTCCAGAACATGGAGGTTCAAACATTATAAATAGGGCCCCATACCCATACGGGGACCCATTATTAAGACCATTATCAAACCCATTAGAAACACACCCATCAAACCCATTACGGAGGAGGAAGCCCACATTTCTCTCTCCTCCCTCTTTTCCTTTCTCTTTCTCTGTCTCTATGAGTCACCGACTGGTTCCGTTGCCATTCTCTGAACCTTCAGAGCCTGACCACCACCGCCAAACCAGAGTCCATGGTGCCTACACTATGATGCTGGAAAAACATGATATCAGAGGAGCTTTACCCTTCCCCCCACCCTCCCCATGATTTTTTTTTTATTTTTTTATTTTTGATCAATCCTTCCCCATGAATTTCGATAAGCACCACCTGATTGGCTACCACTTTTATGATGATACCAATTGGTTATAAGTTTTTCTAGTATCATTTTTTTTTTTGATAAATGTTTTTCTGGTATCAAATCTTTCTGGTGTCATAGTAGAACCTATAAAACTAGATACATTTTATCTTTGTTCACTTAAAAGTTTCCAGTAATCAGCATATCAGAGCTTCTATAATCCGTAAACTCAGAAGGTCAACAGTGATACTAGAGATTTCGAATCAAGATGAACCTTCGTCTACTAACTTGTTTGCTTTACCCACAAAAAGAAAAATTAGGTGCTTTGTTATGTGTGGGAAAGAGGAATAGCTACAGGACAAAAGCTGAGGACCTGGGTAGAAAGATAAGCCTTGGGTAAGTTAAGTGGATTAAGGATGGAGGTTATACTTGCATGACAAACTGCATATTGCTAAATAAAACACTGGTTTGAGTTCTATTGTATTAAGAAAGCACAGTAGCCTTGATGGGCTAACACATTGCCATTTTCTTCTACCAAATATGTCAGGCAGGTAACGATCATTATCCTTGCTAGAGATTTAGATTAAATATGCCATGGTGGTAAACCACAAGCATGGTTGGTATAAAGTCTAAAGTTATCAACACAATTACGTAAATGCTAGCTTTTGTCTGTGAGATTAGGTTTCCTATTGCTCCCAATATGTTTCAAGTCATCTTTCAGCAAAAGAAATGTGTTTTGAGTCATCAATGATGTCATATTATTACAGACAATGTCGAATAATTCACATAAACAGTAAATGAATAACAATACAACTATGCACATTAATAATTTAATTTGACCATATGCAAATTAATAAAATCACACAAGTACAACACATTATTATAAAAAAAATATAACATTCAGTAACACAAATCATCATTAGCATGCCTGGTGGTTTTGGTTAGGAACACAGCATGAGGAAACAACATAATCCTATCATTACCAGTGGCATTTACCTTCCTATACATCATCTTTTTCTGGTTAAACCTCCCTATACATTAGTCAATTGATTGGAAAAAAAAAAGTTCAGTTTGATTTTCTGTATGATGCTGGTACAAGATTGCTTTATCAATTGGACAATCTGGATCTATGGGCATATTGAGCAGTCAGTGACCATATTCTATATTTTATTGTCTGGCACGAGATATCCAGCACCAGCATAAACATAAAGTCTTATCTTAGATAGGTCTTCCATTTTTGAACTGCATTTGGTTCTCTCAGAATTGCAACTAAGTTCTATCTCATAGGCCCCTCATGGACCTGCTATCCAGACGTTTGTCTCTACTAAGATTCCCCATACCAGGTTTACATTATCATCAGTTCATCTTATTCATATGTTGAGGCTATTCTATTGGCCCCAAGTCCATGTGGTATCTGACTTATGGCCCTATAAGTAAATGTATATTTAAAATTCTTAGGTTCTACTACTTGCTAATCAATCCTAAGCATCCAATGGATGGGTCTGTCCTTAGATCTTCCACAACCCAAATTTAACAATATTCAGACTCTGTACTAGAGATTTTCTATGTGATGCCACATTGATATCAGCAGGATTGTCAATGTATCACCAGGGATGGCTAAGCAAGGGGCATCAAGGCAATCAAGGAAAGGACAACTGCCTGGCTATTTAGGTGATTGTGACACCCTTCAATGGAGTGATGCATTATGCTATCATGTTGTTTGGACAATGTCTTTTCAGCTTTCACAGACAAAAGCCAAAGAAGACCTTTAAGCTTTTTGATTTGAGATTTGGCTTTGAAAGCTCATTTGGCAACACTAATGAACTTGTACATGTTCCTACTTATTAACGAACTGGTTCTCCATATTTCTGTTGAAAGTTCAGAGTCAAAATGTCAGAATCTTAAAGTTAAGCTTCTGATTTGGAGAATTTGAGTTTCCAAGCTTTTGTGATTTGGCTTCAGTAATACTCCAAACCTTGATTTTGAGCTTTCCATCTTTTTAAAGTTGAAATCTGAATTTTAGAATCAATCCAGTTGCTTTTATCTAGAATTTCACCTAAGGTCCGTTTGGTTTGCAGTCAGAATTGGAATGGGAATGGTCTATTCCTCTTGCCTGTTGGTTCAGACGGGAATCGGAATTGGCTGGAATGGATTCTCATTCCAAAGGGAAGGGGAGGGAATGGCCATTCCCTCAAATGGGGAATATCATTCCACCAGGAATGGGAATCAGATTCCTATTCTGCCCAACCAAATGGTTGGAACCAGAATGATCCATTCTGATTCCGATTCTAGACCCCTATTCCCATGAACCAAATGGACCCTAAGTGAAGAACATCCAAAGTGATCCTAAGCAAAATCACCTTGCAGCTCTTAAATAATCTACCCTCAGATGAGTTATATTTGAATATTAACAATTACACCAAAACACACGCATTAATGCTCCCACTGTATCCACACACCATGGTATTGAGGAAGATCACATAATCTACCCCTTGTTTGAAGTTTGATAGAGCTGAAGTGTTTTGTTATGTTCAAAACTTGCATATTCCTACTGGTATGCATAGATCAGCTGAATGGTTGTAAGAAAAGAGTATTAGGCAAAGGTGTCAACACTCACCAGAGATGGGTTGGAGACATGGTAACAAAGAATACACGCTTAATGGTAGGATTCACCTTGGAAGCCACCCATTCTGCCCAAGTCTCCATTGCCAACTCCATGGCTCCCAGGCCATCTAGTTCTTCACATATCCCATTTTCTTCACTACTCCATCTGCAACAAGATACAGGTATCTTCAGAAATGCAAAAATAAAGATCATTCTTTCTTGTTTTCTACAGTTATCATTCTGACTTGGGAAGAAGCTTTACTTACAGTAACTTAACTGGGCCTTGTCTCCACCATAAGTACGTGTTGAAAACCAGTATGTCAGCATTCTCCCACTGGGCTGCATGCTTTAGAACTGAATCTGGGCGGATTATCCTATCAGCCAATCTGTGGTTCACTGGATCATCAGAATTCGATTCAACAAGAAGTGGTGCCCAGTAGAACTCGACTGAAGCATTGTATTCCTATGTGGAAGACAAAGACATAAACATTACAGTGTTACAAAAGATAAGATCAGTATTTCTTATTGATTAACCTTGTCATGGATATAAAACATTTGCAATTCTGAAACCTTATAAGACTAACCTAATTGAGATTTTTCATTGAGAAAACTTCATAACGAAATCAAGGCTCTTCAAATTGACGTTTATATGTAAGGATTTAAAAATCTCAAATTCCAATTTTATATCTTGACTGGTGTTGCCTTACCTCTGCTTTGAAAATTGTTAGAGGCGCGTTGGGTGACATAGATCTCTTCTCAGGCGGAATTGCGGATTGTAATAAACACACCATGGATATCCATTGTCCTCTATTAAGAGAATCCCCAACAAACATCAGTCTCTTGCCTCTCAATTTCTCCCACATTTCAGTCGTGTTCCACCTTTAGCATAATAAATCGGCTCTTTAAAATTTGAAAATTATTCTAGTTGCAGAACTAAACAAAAAGGATAGAACATTGGTGATTTTACCATGAAATAGAGAAACAATACCTCTTTAAGTTGCAGTTATGGGGTTGCCATCTCCATGTCTGGTACCTCAAGTCAGTTCTTCCGTGCTTCCGACATGCCAATTGATCGGACATATAAGGGCAATGCGACTCGTTATATAGCGGATATGAAGTATTATCAAAAGCCCATTTGCCGGAAAACAAGTTACAGCTCTCAGGAGTTCCTCCCCGTCGGCTGGACTCCATCGTACGGTCAGTCAATCCAGTTTTCTTACCACTGTACTTTCGAGTGGAAGCGCATGTAGTGAATCTATCCAAGCTCGCTAAACTTCCGAAAAAAACTCAGTTAAATCCATGAGATCAGATCAAAATAAACTAAATTCAGGAGATACAATAAGCCCCAGTAGGTAAAACTAGAACAGAGACAAAAATTTACAGAAACCCGTCAGTCTCGTCGGGGTTCCAAAAATAAAGAAAGAAAACGCAAGAAAAAAAAAACCCGATCAGATTATTAAACTAAACAAGACGAATCTTCACTAGGAGAAGCAAACCTAAGTCGATTAAACTTCAGAGAAAGGAAGGTAGATTAACAAGCAACATACCTAGAGCTCGCTTTTGGTCATTAGCTCCAGAGGTTTTTGGAGGAGCAGAGGCGAGAAGTGATGTATGTGTAATGGAAGACTGTTGTTGTTTGTTGTCTTCGTGGATTTGCTGAATATTTCGTTCGTTGTAGAAGATTGAAGCTGCAATGAAGAGAGAAAAGAGAACAGCAAGTAGGGGGAAATGAGTCCTTTTCCTGTTCCATTTCTGCATCATAGAATAGAACTATGCTTTTGAAGTTGCAGAGGGAATGGAATCTTTGTTCAACGGCGATGGGTCATTAAAGGATTCAATTGGATTTCTTCACAGAATTGGGGTGCCGACAGGAGCTTCTGTTGTGTTGAAAATTCGGTATCACCGGGAGATGTTCCCAATACACGGCGGAGATGTGCCGGAGGGGCAATTTTGTGGGGGGCTGATTTGGTTTCATTTTAGCGTTTTTCTTTCTTTATTTTTCCTATTTCACTGACGCGAAATTCATTTAGCGTGTGTTGATTCGCTCTGATGCTATGAGCCTTCAGATCATGTTGACTCTTGCATTTTGTTGACTGCGTCAATGCATGAAATAAATCATGATGAAACAAACCATTCCATCAATTAATAAGTAATAACCATGATAGTATGATACAAGTGATACAACCAGATCAGATTTCAGTATTTCACCAATTAATTACTCTGTGATACGACCAGACCAGAATTCAGGACCCGGTCTGGACTGTGGAGCCCATTACTTGTGTCGTGTCCACACACGGAAAGCCAACTTATTTGTATAATTTTGCATGACTGTGGGTCTTGTCTGCGAGATCGGCTTCTGTCAGGGCAAGTCCGTATTCACACCGTTACAACTGCCTTTTGCAATTTTGAATTAAGAATATCTCTATGAAATAAGATACCTAAGTACGGAGATATTTTCAATTCAAAGTTGTAAAGATTGATCGAACGTAGGAATGGCAAGAGGGCGGGGATTACATTCTCCGTCCCCGTCCCCGTCCCTAATTGGGGAAAGAAATTCCCCTCCATCCTGACTCTGACGGAGATTTAAATCTCCAAGTTTGTAGCCATTAACAAAGCAAAAATGCTGAAAACATAAATAGATGAGAGAAAGAGAGACTGAGATTGAGAGAGAGAAAGAGAGAGAAAGAGGACCGTTGCAAGTTGAGCCTAGTGACGAGAGAAAGAATTCGACGGGTGACGACGATAGACGAAGGTTGAAGGAAAATTGAAGAATTGAGTTTCAATTCTTTCTTCTTTGAATATCTCTATCCTCCTTTGAGATTCGAGTGATAGACTGGTAGTCGGCAACGATAGGCGTTCGATCTCCAACGGGTGAGTGGCGATAGCGACGACAATCGGCGACAAAGACGAAGGAAGAAGACTAGGGTCACGGACTCATGGTTCAGAGTTCTCTGTCTGTGTCTGTCGACTGTCAAGTGTTTGTGTTTTTTAAGTTTTTATCGTTAAAAATAAATGAATAATAATATAACATATAATATAACATATAATATATAATATTATATTAATTATATATTTTTATTTTTATTAATCGGGGCCGGGTCAAGGTGGGGATTGCATCCCCCATCCCCGGCCCCGACCCCACTAATGTATCCCCATTACCCGGCCTTGTCGGGTCGGGGACGGGGAAAATTGCCACCCCTAATCGAATGGGCTTTTGCCCTGACGGAAGCCGAAATCCTTGTCTAATGGTACTATATCAGGGTTTTGGCCTTTGGGCCTACTCAATAATAATCTAATGCAAAGCGTGAATACCACTTCCTACATTCATAATTTTGTTTTCTAATGTTTTTTTAGGCTCAATTTGGAAGGAATACAAATACGAATATGTACTATGCAAATACATACAAAATACAAGATTTTGCACTTTACAAACTTATATTTGTTAGGGGTGCCCACTTTATAAGCTTATTTTTGAAATCGAACTGAGGTTATCGGTTTTTGGAAAACCGGTAACCAAAATCAAATTGAAACCGATCAGTTAACCGGTTTGATTAACTATCGGTTCAGTTTGTCGGTTTTTTATTGTTTACAATATATATTATAAAAAAATATAATACACTAGAAATATATAAAATAATAAAAAATATATTATATATTATAAATATATATTTATATATAATGCATATTTATTAATTTATAATGTATAGAAAATATAAAATATATATAAATATATGTATACCGATTGATTTGGTTAATTGCCAGTTTTCTATTTTGATTAACCAAAACCGAACAAGTACCTTTGATTTTTTAAAATACTGAACTAAAATCGAACCAAAAATTCAATTAACCGATTGTTTGGTTTTGATCAATTTTTTCGATCAATTCAATTTTTTGGTTTTTCTTCCTCACCCCTAGTATTTGTACCCCTTCCAAAGTAAGAATTCCTCTCAAGATTACGCATCAGCATAGTCAGAAATTGGGCCTAATCTCTGTAATTGGACTAATAGAATTCGTGTGGCTGGCTCAATATAGTTGGAACAAGGCTGAGAAGCCTGAGATGATAATGATGATGAAAGAAAACAGAATTCAGATAATCTAAATACCCGATCAAGCTTCTAGTCGGGTTGTCAGATTTGAAGAAAACAGAGTTCTGATTACAATAGGGTTGGGAACTTGGGATTGTTGATTGGCAATAATAGAATAATGTTCTTTTTTAATTTTCAAACTCTAATTGGATCCTCATCTTGAGGTTGAACCAAACAGATCCTACAAGTGTTTCATGGACTTCTCCATCTAAGTTAAGCTATTGATTTTTGTATGTCACGGTGTCACTCCTTGTGTGACCTACCGAGAGAAGCTGCACAAGCCTGATGATCAAATAGTGAATTCCATTGGGCTGTGTTTGGATTGGGATGAAATCAGAAACGGGAGATGGAAAGGGGGTTTTTCAAGACCCAATATTTCATTTGGCTCTGGAAAAGGAACCGAGTAGAAATTGGGGAAGTACAGAATTTTAGCCTTGTCTTTGTTGCTTTTTAGCACAACAGTAAACGTGTACGTGTGAATTTTAGATAATAATATGATAAATATCCTTATCGGAACCCATTAAAAAAGATAAGTAATTAAAGTATGCTGTGGTTGTAAAACTAAATTTTATATTTTATTTTTATTGGTATTAAAATATTTCTTATTTCTTATATTTATTTTTATTTAATATGATAAATATATAATATTAGAGTTGTGTACAATTTTTCATATTTTCTATAATTTTATTTATATATATATTTTTTGAGTTTTTATATATAATTATGACATTTTGTGTTGACCCAGTTTGGCATAACAGAAAAAAGGACAAAGTCATTTTTGACACCTTTGAATTTTATACTACATTTCCTTAGTTAATTATAAAAATGATTCTTCTTTATGGCACTTAACTTTGTTTAATATGATAAATTTCTAATATTTGAGATATGTCAAAATTTTATGAATTCTTGTAGTTTTTTTGTAATTCTATTTATTTTTATTATTTATTATTTAACCATGATATCAGTGGTTAACCTAAGGGCTAGGCCTAGGTCTAACCCAAAAAATAGAAAAGCCCAAACTTTTGGGTCGAGGCCCAACCTAAGGATCCAAAATTACAGGCTAGGTCGGTTAAGGCTTTGGTTGGACCTGCCTAAGTTGCATTTGTATAGACTATTGACCACCACTTATATGGATAACAATTTTCTTTTTAAATTAGTTTAATTTGTTATTCTATTTCCATCCTTAATAAAAATAATTCTTATTTATTACACTTAAATATGATGAATAAATAATATTAGAGATGTATGCCAATGTCTTCTACAAAATATATATATTTTTGACATTTTTGTGTCTTATTTATTTTAATTTTTTTATTATTTAATATGACATCATTGGTAACCCATTTGACCTAAAACGCTGAATTGTCAATCACCACTAAAATAGGAAAATGATTTCTTTTCTAGGTCAGTTTTAAATTTTATATTTCATTTATAGTATTAGAGATTTGCTCAAAAATTTTCACATTTTTTATAATTTTTATATTTTTATTATTTTAACCATGAAACTGCGAGTTGACCCACTTGACCTAGACAGTTGATTTACTTTCCCACCACTTGGACAGAAGGATATGGTTTCATTTTCATGTCAATTTTAAATATTTTCGTGTTGTATTGTTAAAACTATTAATGGATATAGATTTAATTAAGAGAATTTATTGTTGAAAAAAAACTACTTTAAAAAGGATTTAAAGATAGAAAATGAGAGTTAACACCTTAAATATATGACTTAATGAGAGGGAATTGAATAAAGTGAAAAGAAGTTCAAATTATGTCTTCTACCTTTACAGTTAGATATACCAAATTCAAAAGTAGGGATGTTTTAGAAAAGAAAAAGCCGAAAAACTCATTTATTTAATATGTTTTAAATTTAGGATTTAATGAGAAGGAATATAATGGACTTAACCAAAGTAGTAATTCAATTACAATTTTTGCCCTCAAAATAGAGAAGGGCCATATTAAAAAACAAGGACATTTTAGTAGAAAAAGCACATAATTTTAACCTCATTCCCAATTTTAATAGTAGTATAGATATACATATGGAGTACAATTGGGAGGGCTAGGGGTGTACAATTAGTCGGTTCGGTTCAAACCGAGGACCTAACAGACTATTCGGTTTTACCATTTCTACTAATCAAACTGAACCAAATTATATTTTAGAACTGAACCGATCCTAACCGAATTCGGTTTGGTTGGTTCGGTTGGACCCTGGTTCTACATAAATGACAAGCATTTAATAAGTGTTATTAATGAAAAGTTAAAATGACCCCAAAGCCCAATGATTTTAATTAATTAGCTATTATTTATTAAAAGCTAAAATAAGACCAAAGCCCAATGGGGAATTGGCGAGTTGGTCATTTCCAAAATTAATTAATGATCAATGAATAATTAATGATTAATAAATAATTAATAATGAATATATGTTTTAATTAACTATTATTAATTGTTCATTGGAAAATATAATAATTAATTAGCATAAAGTATTAAATAAAACATTAATGTTTAATATACTTAACAAAATAACAACATTAATTCGGTTTTTAGTTCGATTCGATTGAAAATTTCAGTCAAATCGAACAGAAAACAAAAACTATTTTTTTTTTTTAAATAAAACCAAACCGATAGTCAAATTAATCGAACCGAATTAACTTATTCAATTTGGTTCGGTTCGATTTATCAACCGAATTTCAACCGTCGTAGGAACTACAAAGTACAAAGTGATTGAGCTGTATTCACTAAGCCACGTTGACGAATCTACTGAAACTAGATTCACCAAAAAATTGAATTAATTAATAGCTAAAATAAAACGTATTCTGGCTCCCCGACTTTCTCACCAAACATTGCTTTTAGCATTTCATAGAGTCACATATTGCAGAGCTAGAAGCTGCTGCATGAAAGCCCTTCCAAACGAGCAAATTAATAAATTATGAAATCCATAGGGTGACTAATCATTTCATTATCTACCCCTCACCTGTTTCTACTTCCAACCCTAGCCTAGTTTGTTTGCTATGCAGTTTTAATTGCACTGGTGCAAAAATATTAGAGTGCAAAAGATATGAATATAAATTTTGATTTATTTTTATTGTAGATTTACTGTAGAATAAAACCCAAAATGAAGTAGAGTAAAACTCAATATGTGACCCAAAATTTGAATTTTTATCATTTGTATTCTCATGCATTTGTACTAGTAGTGCAAATGAAATTGTACTACAAACAAACAGAGCAACTCAAACATAGATGTAAGCCTTTTTTTTTTTTTAATGGAACGTAAATAGAAAGAATTACATTTCACTTGATTTTTTTTGGTACTTTGCACTTAGGCCCGTTTGCTTTTCGGTAAATTATTTACCTGGGTAAGTGCATTTACTTATGTTCTTTTATTTCTCAAGTAAATAAGGCAATGGCCATTTTAATCATAAAAATCCATTATTAAAAAGGGGCATTTTTGTCCCATTCAAGTATCGGCAATTTCCCCTCAGGTGGGAAAGTTATTTACCCACCTAGAAGATGGGTATTACTTACCCGGGTAAATGATATACAGGAAAATAAAATTTTCCTGGTATTCACATTAATCTGAAAAAAGAACATGAAATTCTTGGTCAATGGGAACCAAAATCCCATTGACCAAATTCCCCCTCTCAAAATCCAAAAAAAGAATGCCCCCTTAGGGTTGAGTTTTTTTTTCCTGTTTTTATCGTTATCAACATCTTCTAACATTATTAATATTGAAGACTAAAAGAAAAAACCGTATGAAACGAAGACTGAGAAAAAATAAAAAATTGATTAATGAATGTGCAGAAATATCAAACATGTTTCTTCTAAGATATACAATTCATCTAAATGTTCTATTGTTGTTGAATCTTAATTTGAAAAAGAAAGCGCATCAAATATGGGACTATTTAACTCATCCATAACCAATTCAGTTTCATTTTTATTGATTAAGAAACTGAATGTAATTAACCACTCCCTTATGGAACATGGGCATCTCTCAATAGCTAGCATGGGTATCTTCAATTCTAGTATATGAATTAATTAAGAGGAAAGAATGTAGGCATACAAGATCTCATTCCAGGCATCTGGTACACCTGGAAGGCACCAATGGATACAATCAGAGTAGGAAGTAGGGTTGGAGAGTTGTTCTTGGGTGAGTGGCTCCCACTGCTTCCTGTATATGGAAGGGTGACCTTCTTTCCTGTACTCAGAGAGCTGCGTGATGTTAAGCATCTGTACCTTCACCCCCCTCATTCTGAGCTCATCGATTGCTGCCTCAACTCTACGCATCATCTTGGGATCTGAATCTCTTCCCCAGTGTCCTTTTTCTATTGGCTCTGTCTCATTGTAACAGTTCCCCTCCTCCATTCCCCATTCATCTCCCCTGCAAGCTCCACAAATAGACCCACTTATTTGTATGTGAGAGAGAGAGAGAGGGGGTTGGCAGTGTTTTGGGTTGAATTAGGGCATGTCATACATTAATTAAGGCCCCATTCACTAAAGAAAGACTTATCCAGGTAAGGGCATTTATCCATCTTCTTTTATTTTCTATGTAAATAAAGCAATGACCATTTTAGTCATAAAAATCTATTATTAAAAGAGGTATTTTTATCTCATTCAAGTGCGGAATCTTTTCCCCTGGGTGGAAAAGTTATTTATCCGCCTAAAAGGGTAGGTGATACCCATGAAAATAAACTTTTCCCCGGTCCCCACATAAATCTGATAAAAGAATAGGTTTCTTGATCAACAAGAATCAAAATTCTATTGACCAACTTTCACTCATCTACTCTAAAAATGGGATAAAAAACCCCTCCCCCCAAAAGGGAATTGGTTTGGACTGGCCTCTTGCAGCCCAATTGTATCATGTATTGAAGACACAATGTTGAAAGTTGGTGGTCATCAATCTTACCAGAAGTGRGTGGGCGACATGCTAACGAAGAACAATTGGGTCTTGCTGCGATTCACATGGATTTCCAACCAATCCGACCATGTCTTGAGAGCCATTTCATAGCTTCGCAGCATCTCCACCTCCTTGTAGACACCATCTGATCTTTCGAATGATCCCCACCTGCTTAGCTTAACTGTTAAGATTCTCCTCACTTTATTATATAAAAATCAAGAACTCATTAATGCATTTCTTTGAGCTCACTCCAACACGATTTTCTTTCTACGACTCCGATTCTAATCCACACCTCAACAGTTGGATTCTAGTAGCTAGACGAAGTACTAGAATATAAGATTGATTCGATCTACTTACAAAACTTTCATTTTGTCTCGTTTCCACCAAAGATAGGAATTGAAGACGAGTATATCTGCGTCCGTCCAGTGTCTAGCGTGCTTCTCGATTGCCTGGACTCTGACTATCCGATCTGGTAGACGATGGTTTACTGGGTCGTCTGAGTTAGATTCCACCAGAAGAGGCGCCCAGTAGAATTCGATTGATGCATTGTATTCCTAAATTACATCGACTATCAATTACATGCATGAAATTGTGAATTAATGTTGCATGCATGAATCGAAGTGTTTGTTGATTCTATGAACTCATGAACTAGGATTAATTAATTAATTTGACTCACAAGTTCAGTTTTAGCTATAGAGAGCTCACGAGTCATGGGGAACTCACCGTCGCCTTGAAGGAACTTAAAGAGCCATTGTTATGCATCGACTTGAGACCAGGAGGGATTACAGAATCCACGAGACAGACCATTGATACCCACTGGCCCCTGTTAAGCGAGTCTCCCACGTAAACAAGCCTTTTCCCTCTAAGCCTCTCAAGCAATGCTGTGGCATTGAACCTTGTTAACATGAAACATTACACAAACTCAAAAAACACAACCAAGTATAAATAAAACAAAAGAACACGAGAAAGATAATTAATTGATTCTCTTTGAGTTGCGAGCTTGAATTGTATCATATCCCAGAAGTGCAATCTGTACAAAATTTGTGCTTAGAATTATAGATTATCTAAGAAATATTATCGAGGTACGTATGATTATCTTCCTGGACTGAGAGAGAGAGAGAGAGAACCTTGGGAGGTCACACTGGTGTGGCTGCCACCTCCAATTCTGATATTTCAAGTCCTTTCGACCAAACTTTTCGCAAGCCAACTGGTCGGACATGAACGAGCATTTTTGCTCCGAGTATAGAGGGTATGACAAATTGTCAAACACCCATCTGCCGGAAAACAGGTTACACCGGGATAGCAAGTCGCCGGAGTTGTCAGGTGGCGTTGGGTTTTCCTCCAACCATCTATTCTCTTCTGCGAGATAGACAGTAGCAATGAATAGGACGATCACTAGAATTGCTGTAAGTGAATGGAAACGGTTCCTGAGCCCCCACATCCGAAGCTCTATGTGATGTTTCTTTGCCATTCAAGCTTCAGGATGTGTTAAGAATCTATAGACTTGTGTGAAAGTCTACATATCCTCTCTTTATGCTTAGTGAGGTTGGTGCTCATCGTTTTTCATTATTTCTTTTTACAGCTCATTCATCATGAAGCTTGAATTGATGGTAATCTCAGAAATAAATATGTATTTCAGGGTCTTTGCATTGACAGATAATGCCTAAAATAGCCATGGTAATATTAGGAGACATTGCCACAAATTACCAATGTTTGACCACAAATAAAAGGATTTATGACCACAAATTAAAAAAATGGTTCATGACCTACCATTTATCACTTCTAGGTAGGTGATATGTTGACTCATTGCCCTTATAACCAGACCAGACCAGACTATACAATACATTGCATTTAAAATAGTGGACCAGATTAATTAAACTGGTTTAGAATAATCAACAGCGAACGGAATTATCAAAATTTAATTATTCATCTTGATTTTCTCTTCCAAAGAATCTCAAGGAAATGATATTTGATGGGTGAATTGAACAATAAACCAGTGGTTGAAAGAATCCCTGTCTGAGATGCCTGGTTGTTGATTTTAGTGTCAAATGGTATTTTATTTTTTATCTTTGTTTGAAGCCCAAGTGTTGTTTTGGTAATTTAACTGAGACAAGAACAACAAGAATTCTTATATAGTATATTCAGTAGGTTATGGTAGTTGACCTATCCATGTCCCATTACGTTGTCTTGAAACTTTTTTAATAAAATGGGGGAGGAAAGTTGAAACCTGAAAGCAATTTAGAATCTCATTTTAATTTCTTTTTATTCTTCTCTCTTATGGTTGAAAATTAAGACAATATCAAGCTTTGTATACATAATAAATTAGATCTCTAGTTTTATTGGGGAATGCCGACAAACTTTTGTCAATTTATCGTGCACTTTAAACTTTAAAAGGGTGAGGAAGAGTGGGTGGTTAGAATAATTGTGGTGGAGGTGGAGGAGAGCTTCTGATGGTTTGATGAGCGTTCAAGCAACAGACCAAATCACAAAGTGGGAAACCAATTTCCCTTGGTGATGACTCAAACCCTGGTGGTGCCAGGAAAACGAAAATTTAACATCCATCAGTGATGTTTTTGGTGAACTTCTCAACAGCAAGCTTCCAGTCTGTAGCAAAGTTGGAATCTGATTGGGCTTGTTTAACCCTAGGATCGGATCAACCATAACCCAGTTCAGCCAGACTGCCAGAGGTACCATGCATTTTGGGTGGATTTTAGTTAGCAAAGTAAATGTATACATGGTATTTAATTATAGTTTATTTAGAAGTGACATTGAGTTTTTCTTTTTTTTTTAATAAATTAGTGCTCAATCACGTGCTATGCGCATGTGCAAGTAAAAGGTAAAGATATAAATCATTAAATAATCAAACTTAATTCTTATCGCATACATCAAATTAAACTAAGGCGAATATCTGTTTTATAGTATAGATAGATGATATAAAAAAAATTGTTCTAACATTGTACTATTATAAAGCCGTTACTTGTCTTGGTTTTGGTGCATGTCATAAAAATTAAATTCTATATACAATATCAACTTATATCTTTATCATTTACTTGGATGTGAGACTTGCAAAAGGGTTGTTATTAATTAAAATGGCCTCATCAGATTGGGAAATTTTAGTTAGATACTTAATTTACAAGTTGAATGGGGTTAGGGATAAATAAAAAATAACATTGGTCGAAATAGTAAGAAATGATTTAAGCATTCATAATTTAACAATTGATATGATATTAAAACAGGATTTTACCTGCTAATTTTTAATAGGATTCAAGTAGAATACCCAAGTCGAAGAATTTGACAAATTTGAAAAATTCTTCTGTATAGTGAGATATTGAATCTCTCTCTCCACAAGTAAAAGAAGCAATGTCAAACAAGTTCAGTCATATTGTCAACTCATTTTAAACCGAACCCATTAAAGGGATGGTGAAGAGTTTGGATCTGCTAGCCACGTTCATCCAAACACAAATTGGAAACATCTCTTATATTTTATGTCATCAATATTCTTAATGTGCAGTTATTCGGATTTGGTGAAGGCCACACAACTGAGAAAAAGGTTTCTGATTCTACTCGTGGGGTTTGGTTGAGTCCGACCAAAGCTACACCCCTTGCAACAAGATAAGTTTTTTTTTTTGAAAGAACAGAAAAATATTTATCTATCTATAAAAAAGGAATAGGGTTATAAAAATATTTATTTTAATTACTCACCAAGCCACCAACCAACAGCTAGAAGTGGAAGAATACCAGCATTGATGGGACAAATTTTAGTTAGATACTTAATTCCTCAAGGTTTCAACTCATCCGTACGGAACTAGTTAGTGGCCCAAACAATTAATTAAAACAGTAATTAAAGAATGTTTATTTTAACTTCCCCAATAAAAGGGGAGAAGAAGCTAGGCCTCAGTTGGTGGGACTTTCAATTGTCCAACTTTGTCAATATGACATAGTCTACTCCATAACTCAGTTTCTACTACTACATCATTGAAAAACTTTAGAGCAGAGGCCCACATTCTGCTTCCACCTTAAAATCTTAGATTTGCCTACCTAAAAAGTGATGAATAAAAGATATATGGCAAATAGATAGAGAGAGAGAGGCTAAATGCGTGGATGTCACTTTCTACATAGAGTTAACTTGTTTTAGAATTCTTTTCAAGCCTTGAGTGTGTAGAAAATATTTATCATCTTCTCAAGTTTATATATATATTTTATAAACTTGCATTTAAAGATTTTATGTTGAACCTTCGAAGGTAAGACACCATATTGGCCCAATTGGGTGGTGGTGCCCTAGATACATGGGGGAAATTAATCATACATCACGGTTCACACCAATAAAGCATTAAAAGGTAGGGGTGATCATGGGCCGGGCTTTGCACTTATGATAAAGGCTATAACTTAGGCCTAGGCCTGAAACATAAACTCTAGCCCAGGTTTATACGGGTCCTGGTCAGATTGGGTTTGATTCCAGGTCAATGTCACTCATATATAAAACATTATATATCCTTATATTAAATGATATAACATGCATATAAACTTATTTTATACATTATATAATATAAAATATTACATATAATATAAATTATACATTTTATGTTATAATACTTATATATAAAACATATAATATAATATAAAATAACATGTATACATATATATACATTATACACAAAATGTGTAAGTTTAAATATATACGGGCCGGACTGGGCTTAAAGTATTAAGCCTAAGCCTGACCCTAAAATTTGTGGGCCTGATGTGTGCTTGAACACAAAACGCAGGCCCAGGCCCAAAATTTTTGAGTCGGGCTGGGCTGAAATGATCACCCCTATTAAAAGGCACCCATGACATATACTAGTAGTCCATAATTCTAATGGATAAGCTGTAGCCTTAAAAGTGGATATGGCATAGCCCATTGAAAAGAAAAATAGTGAATATTGCATTGAATAGAGCAGGTTTAAAGGATGCGATTTATGTAGATAACCGACCCCATATAATTAGGACAAAGTGTTGTTGAATTGAGTAAAGTGAAAATTTTCTATTTAATTTTATATATAAGGGTGTCAATGGACTGGTACCCCATCCAATCCAAAATCAATTTGGAATGATTGGATGGACTGAATAGACATATTGGATTGGATCAATCCGGTCTAAAATATTTATTGGATTGGATTGGAACTGGTCTGTCTGTAATAAATTTATATTGGGTTGAGTTGGATTGGATTAAGCCAATACCTAATCAATAAATATAAGATAAGAATATAGGTGATAATGGACTAGATTTGGGTTGAAACCAATCTAATTCAAAACGAATTTGAACAGATTGGACAGTCCAGATGTTAAATTAGAYTGGTCCAAAATGATCCAAAATATTTATTAGATTAGATTGGATTTGGTCCATTTATAATGGACTGACATTGGACTGAATCGGATTGTACCAAATCCAGTCCAATTGACACCTTAGGGGCAGATTTCTATTGTGCTTGCAGAGGTAATCTTGGCCTTGGTGGAGGTGGAGGGATCATAAGGGATAGAGTGGATAGTAAGGTCAGATTCTTTGCTGGTTTTCACTTTCCAAGAGATGGTTTCCAATCATGTTTAGAGGAAGTAAACCAGTTATATAGCGGATTCTCTTGCAATGGGAACATACACTCATTTATTGATGATGGTACCCCAAGGCTTGTTTTCTATTAACGATTTTTGCGAGAGGATCATAAATTTGGCCATGTATGTGTGGAAGGCTGTTTGTAGGAACAGCAAATTGATGTTTCTTGTTAAGGTGTGTGTGTGAAATGTAGTCATTCCAGTCGAAGTGACTTGTATGTGATGTAGCAATACATATCTCTCACTAATTTGTATTACTATTAATACCAGAACTTATTCTTTTTCTATATAGTTATCAATGAATATCAGCTTATTTGCTTAAAAAACTTGATTTGGGTGGTTTGTTGAAAACTGAACCGTTCAATGAATAAGACAGAAAACCCAAACAATGGATTAATTCATGGACAGAAAACCCAAACCAATTTAACCTATTTTTTTTCCACAAAACATAATGTATAGTCCTTGTTTCTGATCTAGCTTTGTCCACTAAAATATGGGCTACAAGATTCTTAGAAACAACACTTCTTCGGCCATACTTTATTCATCCCAGTTCAAATTAATGTTTGATAAAATTTCTCTATAGACAATACACGAAGAGTAGTTGGGGAGGATCTTGGACATTACATGTGACTGTACTGTAGTGATGGTGGCTCAAAAGGGTTAAACATGTTAGTCACCTCCACGCTCGATCATCCATATCCTTTGGGACTTTGGGTGACTTTTCCTCTTAAGCAAATATGAGAGATAATTTGAATTAATGGACCATGTTTTGGGCTGCAATATTGAGCATTTGCTAAATTTTGCATAGGCCCGGCCCAAAGATCACAGACCCATTTTTGCATGGGCCCAGCTATGTCAAATCTGTTCTTCATGTCAAAGTGGAAAAGCTTCCTTTCATGGTGGAAGAAAGAGCTACGTTTGTATTTGTATAGCCTAGGAAAAAAAAA